TTTTCTCCAAACCCTCTCTTCACTTACTTTTCATGAGCAACATCCCATAAAACCCCTTCCCCTCGAACAGGATCACAATATTTAATAGTCACACACTATGATTGTGAAGAAAATGAACAAAAAACATTGCATAAATACGCCATAAACCAAGTAACCAAATGCGAATCGGAACCACACGAAATAGAAACAACGATTATAGTAGCGACACTATATTCAAAATCCCGAGCTACAACCTTAACAGGATATAAATTCACAGCAACAATTTCAGTGAAAAAAGTACATTGTTACCAAGTCCTAAATTGAAACAAAAATAGACTCGACGATGAATCTTTCTATCAAAGCAATATAGAAAGACTTTTGTTTCTTATCCTTGAAGTTTGTAAAAACGAGCTTCAACGGTTAATGTTAACAACACATAAAGCCAAAAATCAAAAATTGGTAATTTTTTAAGTTTTTCCAGACACGGCACATCAAACAGAACTTGAAAGATACCAAGGTCACATAAAAATAGACGATAAGTACCCGTTCCACGGCGCACATGGACGATTAACTTATGATCTTAATAATAAAAACTGGATACCACTCATTGGAGTAAGCAAACCTTCTAATTGTGAAGCAGATACGAAAAACAATGATTATCAAGAAATATTGTTTTTTGATGGGAAAAATCGATTAGGAAAAAGCACAAATAAAAAGAAAGAATTAAATTACGACACAAAACTTTATCAAAAAACACGATTAATTTGCAAAAAATACCAAGGTTATTGCGATCCAACAACAAGAACACAAGCAACTCCCCCGAAGACAAATGTCCGCCCTTTCAAGTTGCAAGAATTCACGCAAGAATGATAAATTTTTATCAGAAATACTTTGTTGAATCAATTCCTTATGATAAAGTAAACCCTAATGAAATCCGACAAAATAGATGTGGATATAAAAATATCGATGGAATAGAAAATAAATTGACTCGTTTTCCATTTTACCCCGAAACAGAACTCGATTGTAAACATACAACTTCATTTTATAAAAGACAATACTCAGAAATTTTCGTCGAATACGAAAAAGGTTTCGACATGAAAGCAGGAAAAATATTTATTAACACAAATCCTACGCATCATAGCTCTAATAATAACAAAAACTCATACACCTCAGTAACATTTCTGAAAAACACAGAAAATACTGGTGGAAAACGTCGCCCACAAGACAATGGCAGTACACGTTTACAAGAACTAACACTCATGAAAAGTACCTTTTTTGGGACAATTCACTAAGACATCCACTTAGACATGAAATAGGATTATACAATAAGCAGATGTTTTCAAGAAATGTCACTATCAGAATTAGAAACGTTTCATCACTTATGTGAACTTGAACGAACAAAAATTTTACAATCACTTGCACTAGCAGTAAAAAGATTAGGCAAAATTATTAGGCAACAGATAAAATTTTATAGATTACGAAGAAATATATTATGGTATTACACAAGTAAGAAAAAAGTATGACCATTATATGTTTTCGAAGACAAAAGATGTTACAAATTATCCCCATTTTCTACGAAAATAACGTACATTTTGTTGAAACATTTTCTAGACGAACATATTTCTTGGTTACAGCCGTCCCAAGTGGATCTGAAAATAGTCACAATGTTGTACAGCTAAATTCAGATGAAGATAAATATAATCTTCTCTCATCATACCCAACATTTATGCCACTATTAAAGAAATTTTCACCAGTAAGTATCAGAGCTATTGCTAAAAAACCAAATATATATTTCCAATCAATAGTTATATACTCCAGATCCGATAGACAACATCATTTTCGCACACAACACTTTCAAGAGTTCCTTACAGAAATGGATGCAGTGCAGAGCCAAACCATAGATCAAAATTTAAGAAAAACGCAGAAACCGCAGGATTTTCAGATATCTATGCACAAGACTACAGTGGATACTTTAAAAATGTAAAAGATTACATCTATTTAAACGCTGAAAAATACCGTCCACAAGACATTTCATCTATTAATATTTTCAACTTCTCGCCTTTCTAGGATGGCCTTTTTACACCATAGAAAGGATGAAATTGACATCTACTTAGACATGAAATTGAATTACACAACAAGCAGATTTTTTCAAGAAATGTCCCGATCAGAATAGATTAATTTTTTTGGATTTCACTTCTCACAATTAAAAAGAATCTATAACACATGCGCAAAACACACACACACAACTTAAAAAAATTAAGCAAAAGTAGCAGGCATAAAATTCGCAGGATTCTTTAGTTATTTTCAAGTTCAATCAACAAAAATCTTCTAGACGCTGAAATAAGTGAATACAACCAAAAAACTATCAACCACACAAAATGCAAACGATGTTTCACCAGATAACAGAAATACAACACATACTGCACCACAATTAACCAATTGACATAATAACCATCCGTTATTTTTAGTACCAGGAAACTATAGAAATACACCAGTAACAGAGCACATCTCTAAAAGTCATAGCTACCCACAAAGTCCAGTTACTCATATAGTAGCCCATCAACCGAATATAAAAAACATATACGAACACATCATAGAACAACCATATACCACTTATTTCCGTTCTCAGAACAACCGTTTCTTAGCCCACTATGAACCGCCAGATTGGATCTCTCAACCATTCCCTTTCTTATCCATCCAATCTGCAACGTCACTCTCCTAACATATCAGTATCTGATCTCACTACCTCTCTCATACCATCATACACTAATAATTCACCACGCATGGATTCAGATGATAATTCCACACACACAGTTTTTCACACCATCTCTCAATTTAACCATTCCGATTTTGAAACTCCAGATGAATTCGAGAATTCCGAGCCAAGCCCGTACACTTTTTCGCAACCCCCCTTTCGTCAACTGAACACCCCAACTCCCGACGAACCTTCCTCAGCGCCTTCTTCCTGCACCGACGCAACCCCAAGCCTCTACTCAACGAGCAGCGAGGGACCCGAGCCCCTAGCTAGCCCCGTTAATGAAGAACTAGAAAACGAGCTTGAAAATTTCATCACCTTACAACAATAGCTTCAAAACCCTAACGCACTAACAATTCATCACTTATCGCAATCAATTACCTCCTCCAAATCCTCTAATCAAGCATCCACAATTGAAGAAACACGAGCCCGCCGAGTATTTAAACGAAAACAACCCAATACCCCAATGCTTCCCAAACCCCGACCTCTTCGAATGTTTTCCGTTCACCCACTCCGCACTAACACTAAAGATTTTTTTACAAATGTGCTTGACATACTTTCCACAATACACTCACTAACAGACCACTAACAGCGATCAACGAATTTACGTTGACGAATATACCCTGTTTCCCACACTTTCACGCACATCATACTACCATTTTAATAACCTAATGTCACTTCCATTATCTAATAACCAAGAAGACCGTGAATTATGTCAAATTCAACTACACCGCCTAACCATGGCACTTCTTGAAAAACAATTCACATCCTTCGGACTAACGCAAACCTTGCATAGGTTTGTTCCACAAAAAGCAAACCGATTATCAATTAACCCTTATAATCACGCTATTGCACGTTATATGAATGGTACAGTTTTCAAAGACGACAAAAAAACTAATCCCCAATTATTTGAGAAACTTTTTATAAAATCACAATATGTATTTTTCATTAACTGCATGAATAAATAATATGATAATGGTACATCCACAGAACTTCGCGACACCGAAACCTACGGTTTTTATTTTTAAAAAATTTAATCATTTCTCACTAACTTTCAATTTCCTAAGACCAAAAAAACGTGACTTACACTGCTCACATCAAATAATATTATACACTAAACAAACTCACACATACACTTATTAAAAAATTATTCAACACCACTATACAACTAATACACCATCACGAAAACCACAACACCGATTCACATGTTTTATTTCTAAACTTTTTTTTAAACCATTTTTCCTAAAATTCACCTTCTGGATAAAAGACACTAATATGCAAGGCATCATCCAAAACAACGACCCCATAGGACAAATGTTTATATTCTGTCCACTAACCAGAATTTTCAACGTCGAAGAATCTCGCCCACTAATTGTCCGCCACAAATATATACTGCATACCGAAGTCCCAATCCTAGAATAAATTCATAATACCAAATATAATCATAAGCTTTATAATTTAATTGGAAACACACCGCATGAATTCTCACTAGGTAGTGAAGAACACAAAATCATCAGAGCACTCGAGCTTCTATGGCCTCTCCTTCAAACTAAATACGTCACCTGCTTGCTTTTTTTAACAATAAAAATCTAAAAACTATCTAAACCCCGGATGGGTGGAACCAGTTCTAAGCTAGCAATATAAACCAATTATATTGATGATAAATTATCCCATATGAAACATTACTAACTAACCAATCATATTCCATCTCTAACATTGACACTTGTTTGTAAGTGTTGAAACTACTTGTAGTTTCAGCACCAGAACAATTTGAATAAAACTTTGAATACAGTTGTTCTCTTTCTGGATAAACTCCAAGAGCTAACTCGCATAGACCAGTATACACTAGATCTATTGAGACTAGGAGATAAAAAAAGTAAGATTAAGATCGGTATTAGACAAAGAAGTTGCACGAATCTTTCCTGCCGAAAATAAGTTAGCGTGACTAGCAGACGGTGCACCTTATCTGAATTACTCTATGATAACAGCCAATAGGTCATAACTAAAAAAAAGAGGTTGTTTTTTTTTTAAAATCAATTATGGGGATCAATTTTATCAAAGTATCATTAAAAATATGGTTTTAATCGCTGTTTTTAAAAAGAAACTTCGAAACAAAAATTCAAATTAGTTTGTAGTGAATTACGGAACAAATGTCTGCACGTTTTCAGAAAAAAAAGTATAAAATTTAAAAAACAACCACTCAAACTTCAAAAATGCTCTGCTGTTTGTAAATTCAATTAGTTTGGACGCTGGTGCTTGTTTACAGTGAACTCTAACTTGACATTCGCTTGTGTCGACACTGCAGAGGTAAACCAGTTTGAACTGGACTGCTCCTGTGATTTGGCTGGACTGGACGGAGTCACAGATATGGAATGTCACTCAAGCAGCGGTGAGATTTCAACGACTATGTTTTCAAATTCTTTTGCTGTTTTTCTTGTCAAATTTAGGCCAATAATCTGTGATCTATCTTAGTTTGGGTTTTTTAGCAGTTATTTAAAAAATTCCGGAAAAAAACTTACTACTCGAGTCAATAAACCGATTACCCTAAGCTTTAAAAAAAAGCTCATTCGTGGCCTCTAGCAATCAAGATGCGCCATTGTCTGCTTACCCTTATTCTCAAATGCCTTGCTTCTAATGAAAAACCATACTGAAAAGAAGAAAAGTGATTCCATGCTTCAATGTATCGGCTGTGTCCAGGGGCGGATCAAGGATTTTCTCGAGGGGGGGGGGGGCGGATTTCAAAAAAACTTCGAAACTTTTGTAATTTTGTCGACCTTTTTTTAGGTCGAGCAAATAGACTTTTCGAGCTCTCCCTAAGCGCCGTTTTTAGTCCCTGTTCTGGCCAAACTTGCTGCGCCGCAGGAAAATTTGAAAATACAGTCCAAAAAAGGCATTTTTAGGCATTTTTTGAAAAATGTTGATAAAAAAATCGCGTTTTTTCGGCGCGCGCTCCCCCTCAAAATTAGTATATATTGGCGCCCAAGGCGCCATTAGAAAAAATTCAGGGTTGGTCAGCTAAATTTGGATTCCTTAAAAAGTACCAAAGGGGGGACCCTTTGGGTCGGCCGGGGGTCGAGTTTCTGAGGGGAAAGCGTCCCCCCCCCCCCTAAATCCGCCCCTGGCTGTATCACTGTATGAATGAATCGGATCACAATGGCCTTCAAAGTATCGGACCATCACTCAGCTCAAATGACTTTCCTACAAATACCTCTAATCAGAGCAAAGAAGAACCGATAAAAGAAGACTCCTAAAACGTTTACAAAACGATAATTTTTTAATGAAAGCAGAATATTGGTTTTGTGATATTTTTACAAAAAAAGAGGAAAGTAATTTATTAGAGCATATGAGCAGAAAAGTCAACTGGAATCTAGTGATAAAATCCTAGCAGAATATTCTGACAAGTAAATACCAAAAACGAAGGAATATTTCTTCCAATTGACATACGCCGGGTCACAAACCTAGTAAAAAAGTTCTTTTTTGAAAAAAAAGAACTGTTTACTGCCGATATAAGATAATCCATCCACAGAAGACCAAACAAAACTTGCGAAAACAAATAAGTATGTTTAACCCGGTCGTCGGAAAACCAAAGCCACGCATAAATAAGATCGAATACTGTCGAGTTCAAAAATCAACATTAAAAAATTTTACAGTGTAGTTAACAAAGGAAAGTAAAAACATTCAGCTAACCACAAAGAGGGGACCCTTTGGTCTCAGTATACAATTTTAGAGAACATGTTTTTGAGTTCAAAATCTCTCGCCTATGGAGTTCCAGAAGGATCCGTTTTGTGACCTTTCTTTTTCTAAAGTATACAATCGGTCTGCTGAATGTTTGTGTGAAATCAAAAGGGGCCCTCTATGCGTTGATTGTAGCGTAGTTTCTACAAAATTTTTGGAAAAAGAAACAAAAAAAGCAAGCGACTTAGAAATTGTTGAAACTTGGCTGATTGAAAACAAATTGAGTCTCAAACAAGTTAGAACAGCAAAAATTGGACCTAAGTCAATCCAAATGATCTACCTAGTCATTATCCAGATAATTTACTGAGTTTCAAGTTGCATATTCAAAAACATTCTGAAAAGAACAACTCGAAGTGCGTCCATTATATACAATTTACGTCAACAGGATACCATTTGCGTCTCTTATTTACCAATTTTGTCCTTTTTCTGGATAGCCAACGGAGATTCGATTTGCATATTCAAAAATTTTTTAAAACAATAATCTCGAAGCGCGTCCATTATATACACTTTTTTCGTCAAACACGTACTTAAAACCAATTGCTATCTATTTACAAAAACGTATATTTAAAGAATGTAAGGATATAACAAACTGATATAATTTTAACTTAATTGTCACCCATACAAAATAATTTTGTTGCAGTTTTTAAACATAATTTAAAAATTAAATTTTGGGTGCGTGGATTCGAAAATAGCAAAAATATTTCCTCACTCTGTTGGAACAAAAAACTTGTGTGATGTTACTTTTTTTTGTCTAATGGATTTTCTCAGGGCGTTTTAAAAGTTTCGGTAATTTAACTGCTTTTAAAACTGAAAAACAACAAAGCTGTTACTTTGAAAAAACTAAAAAAAAAACTGACAATCTCTAAAATCTAAAAGATAAACTTAGTTTCTGTTAGATCAGGGAGTAACATATTGATGAGCTATTCAAAATAAAGACTAAAAATTTAAGGAGGCTACACCCATGCTAACTAATCAATAAAACAATCAGCGATTAAGAAATTCTTGACGCATTGTCAAATAACAACCGTATGCTCAGGTTACGAAACACAGAACGAATGAAGAGCCACAAGAAAAAACTTAAAAATAGGCTTAGTTATTTTTTCATCGGTTCTATGCATCAGACAAAATAAGCTCATATTGAATTGTTAAAATAGTCAACTAAGTTCGATTCTGCATCGCACACTCGTGATAACGAGTTTTTGATGAACGTTTTTGGTAATCGGAACTTTAACTGTTTTTTTTTGTCATTTGCTTACGAGGAGACCACTCGATAGGCAGCTACGTGATTTTTATTGTGTTCTTCCAAGATGGGATTTTTGTATTGTTTTGATTTGTAGTCGAGTCTGTTCCCTTCTAGAAAACGACTTGAAAAAAAAAAGATTTTTAAGTCAGCGAGTTCTGATGGTGAAAAATAACGTTTCCCATTTTGTTCAGAGCCTTCTGCCTGCAATGCAAAAGAAGAGGGAAGCACATGCACAGAAGAAACAAAAACAAATTGTTCTGTTGCAAAATGGTCGTCGAGTGAAGACAACCCTTTCGGATTGAGAGACGAGTTTACGTGTGATTGCCAACGAAAGATATCACCAGTTGAGCAGACAGCACAAAACATGATCACACTTAATTGTTTTTCCGATAGTGAGTATTTTGAGTGAGCCCAGAAACTGATTTTCAACAGGTCACAAAACGAGAAAGAAATAAGATTCATGTTTACTTAAAAAAAATTTTTGTAGTAGTAGAAAAAACACTCAATCACTGAAAGAGCACTTAGCTTAAAAATAAAACCACGACTTGAAGTTATAATCTGACTCAAACATGGGCCGCAAAAACGAACAAGGTCGATTCTTGTCAAACGAAATATATTTTCCCTTTAATTCGAACTAAGTCCAAAAAAATCGAAAGCTGATATGGTTTGACTGAAAAAGCAAAATTGGACATCGCTTGACTGAAAAATTAGAAAATGCAAATCATTCGATCGTTTGTCGCCCGAACCATGAGTCGAGCACTTCAACCCGCTTGTGGATAGTATGCAAACTTTATCTTACCCAATTGAAACATATGAACATTGGAGTTAAAATCGAACAGAATCCCTGCCCCCCTTCCCCACACACACACACACACACACACACACTCTGTTTGTAGTAGGTCACTGCTTCAAAGTAAATATCTTAAATCTGCTATTGTTTCATTGACGTTTATTGTTATGGTCTTGAGCAAATTGACAAAAAGAAAGATGCCGTCTCTTTGTTATCGAAGAAAGCGGCAAGTTTTTTTATGAATTAACTGTCAATTGCAATTGACATCTTCCGCTAACCTTTGAAATGTTTTATCAGAGTCTTTAATAAAGAGCGATAAAAAACTAAATAAGTAGATTTTTCAGGCCTATCCAAAAAGAACTCCAAGAAGTTTGTTTCACGACGTTTTTGCAAAAAATGGGCAACCCAAGATTTTAAGTTCAAAATGATAAATTGTTGCTTGTGCTCGTAATAATTGACTCAAGTACCATCACTAAATTGAATTTGGAATTATTTATACCACAGAAAAGTTAGTCGCTTACTCGATAGGTTAATTGAAATCTGAAACGTTTGCGCGCATCGATTGTCCAGAGTTTGGCACAATGATGTTTTTCAGCACCCAAAAATGTCATAGAAAAGTTGCACGTGAAAGATGTTTTTAACTCTAAGCTTTTTAACACAACAATAATGACTTGAACGTGTTATAAATTTTCGTGAAAACTGGTAAATGGATAGCCGAAGTTTGACTGAAGAGAAAAAAAACACATCACGAACATCCCGGGTCGAGGTCCCAGACTCATGTCCAAACTTTCGCGACGAAAACTTTGGCATGTCCAGACTTTCCAGATCAAAATTAGGCATGTCAAGACTTTGGCGACCAAAACCTGGCATTTCCAGACTTTTGTGACCATGATAATCCGTCGCGACTACCGCGACCGAAGCAGAGGTGGCGCGACCAAAACATCGCTACTCATATTCTCGCGACCAAGACTCTCGCGACCAAGAGTTGCCATTTCCAGACTTTCGCGACCGAAAAACTAAGGCGCGACTTTCGCGACCGAGGCGGATACGGCGCGAACCTACGGCTCAGGAAACGGCGTGACTGGCGCGACCAAACTTAGCCATTTCCAGACTTTCCAGACCTAGATGGAGACGGCGCCTTTCCAGATCAACATGGAGATAGCGTGTTTTTAAAAAAGTGTTTCAGTGCTTTCTCGGCCAAGGTGGAGACGGCTAGACTTTCTCGACCATGATGGATACGGCGTGACTCAGGAAACGGCGCGACTCAAAAAGCAACGGCGCAACCAGCTTGGCCAGCGCGACCAAAAAGTGAACTTTCAAGACTATCGCGACCAATGCGGAAACGGCGCGACTTTCCCGACCGAGGCGGAGACGGCGCGAACCTACGGCTCAGGAAACGGCGTGACTGGCGCGACCAAACTTAGCCATTTCCAGACTTTCCAGACCTAGATGGAGACGGCGCCTTTCCAGATCAACATGGAGATAGCGTGTTTTTAAAAAAAGTTTTTCAGTGCTTTCTCGGCCAAGGTGGAAACGGCTAGACTTTCTCAACCATGATGGATACGGCGTGACTCAGGAAACGGCGCGACTCAAAAAGCAACGGCGCAACCAGCTCGGCCAGCGCGACCAAAAAGTGCACTTTCAAGACTATCGCGACCAAGGCGGAGACGGCGCGACTTTCCCGACCGAGGCGGAGACGGCGCGACTAAGAAACAAATCTTTGCGACCGTAGTGGATGCGGCGCGACTTTAGCAATCAGAGTGGAGACAGCCCAGACCACGGTGCATACGACGCAATTTTCCAGAACAAGGCGGAGACGGCGCGATTTCCAGACCAAGGTGGAGACGGCGCGACCAAGAATCAATTCCTCACGACCAAGGCGGAGACGACGCGACTTTCCAGAGAAAAGCGGAGACGGCACGACCCTTCAGACCAAGACGGAGACGGTGCAATTTTTCAGACCAAGGCGGAGACGGCGCGACCAATATTAGATTTCTCAAGACTGAGGTAGATACCGTGCAACTTTCCAGACCAAGGCGGAGACGGCGCAACTTTCAGAATAAGACAGAGAGGGCGGTACTTTCCAGACCATTGCGGAAACGGCGCGACCAAGAATTCACTGCTCGCGACCAAGGCGGAGACGGCGCGACTCTCCAGACCGAGGCGGAGACAGCGCAACTAGGAAAAAGTTCTTTGCGAACGTGGTGGACGCGGCGTGACTTTACCAATCAGAGTTGAGGCAGCCCAGACCGCGGTACATACGGCGAGACTTTCCAGAAAAAGACGGAGACGGCGCGACTTTCCAGACCAAGGCGGAGACGGCGTGACCAAGAATCAATTCCTCGCGACTAAGACGGAGACAACGCGACTTTCCAGACCAAAACTGAGACGGCGCGACTTTTCAGACCAAGATGGAGACGGCGCGACCAAGATTATATTTCTCACGACTGAGGTAGATACCGTGCAACTTTCCAGACCAAGGCGGAGTCGGCGTGATTTTTCAGAACAGGCGGAGAGGGCGCTACTTTCCAGACCATCGCGGATACTTTCGCGACCCATGTCCAGACATTCACGACCGAATTTTGGTATGTCCAGACTTTCGTGGGCCGCGACTCATGTCCAGACTTTCCAGACTCAAACTCTCGGCGCGACTATGCAATTTGGGTCTAAATCCGGATGTGTCGCGACCCTTAAAGTCTAAACATGAGTCTGGGACCTCGACCCGGGATGTCTTGCATCAAAACTGAGATAAAAAAAAACACCGAATCAATTCATCTTTTGTTCGAAAGTCGGAACCTTGAGCCACCACAAGCTATGAAAATTTATCGAAATTTTTCTTCATCAAAAATAACAATTGATGCAAACATCGTTACAGTTAAGGATGGGCCAGTTAAACGTAAAATTATTTTCCACATTGTGAGTTCGGTGCGATATGGACGCCTCATGTCTCATAGATTAACTTGGAATAAAACACACTATCATTTTGTGGCGCTTTCTGCTTTTACTTAAAAAATTTTGTTGAATTCCAAACTTTTATCTTAAGATCTGTTCATAATTTACTGAACTCAATATATCTGTAGGAAAAACTAGTAAAGCAAACTAAGAACCTTAATTATGTCAGCACTGATTTAAAATGCTTAGGTAATGGTCTGATCAATTAAACTGATCTCAGTATAATTTAAATTCAGGGTACTTTTTTCGACATTTTCTGCTTAACCCAGATGCTTTTGACACCTTCCTCTAATGTTTGAAAAGTTTCGACTGAGTTTTATCTCTTCAGTATTAAAAAGCTTAAGTTAATTTTTTCGTGCCCATCTGAAAATAACTTCAAGAGGTTTCCTTACCTTTAAAAAAACCCAACCCAAGATGTTATGTTCAAAATGATAATTTTTTTGCGTGTTTTCTTGCAATAATTGACTCAAGTACTATCCCCCAATTCAAATTGGAGACATTTTTATCCCGCAATAGCTGGCCGCTTGTCTTAGAAGAAAATTGGAAACTGCGCAAAAATTATTCAGAGTTCTGCACATGGACAATTCTAAGCCATCAAAAAGTCGCAAAAAAAGTTGCAGGCGAAATATGTTACTAAGTGCACGCTTTGCAAAAAAGTAATAACAACTGGAACAGTTTAAAAATTAGGCAAATATTAGCTGTTGGATTGCCAAAATTAGTCTCAAGAAAAGCAACACAGCACTAAGATAGCTTCCCTGCTTTCTTCAAAAGTCAGAACAAATAACACAGAGCAAGGTAATCCATACTACGAAATTCGAAAGTAAAACCGCACGACCAATAAATTATTAGCGACGAACAATTTCTTCGATAAAATAGCAGTTCATGCAAACATCGTTACAGTAAAGGTTGCAACTGTTGATCGTAACATTTTTTTTTCCAAATGGTAAATCGATGCGATGAACTTATCTCATAAAGTAATTTGGAAAAAAAGACGCCGTCTTTTTGTCACGTTTTCTGTTTTTTTTTTCAAAAGCTTCGTGCAAGATCAGTGCCTTATTTTTAGTTCTACTCATAATTTACTGATATCGAAAGATGGATAGGAAGAACTGTTAAAGCAATTTAAGAAAATTAATTATGTCAACCTTAATTTAAATTGTTCATATAATGATCTGATCAGTTAAACTGATCATAGTATATACTTAAACTCAGTATAGGTTAGGATTATGAAAGTGAGTCCTACTCTTATTTTCGGATATCAATAGATATGCAGAAAAAATTAGAAAAAAATTGATAAGCTTATTAATAATTTTTTAAAATGTCTAAGTAAAGGTCTGATCAGTTAAACTGATCACAATAATAGTTAATTCCAATATTGGTATGGATTTTGATTGCTTAACAAAACTTCTTCTAACTAATGCCGAAATACAAAAAAAAAATGAAGCATATTAAAAAACACTGCCAATTAAGTCTCACACATAAGAGTCATTGGATAAGGAAACTTTGATTGCTCAGAAGTCTAGTCATGATACGTGATAAACACGTGATATTCTAATTTAGCTGGTTGTTTTCTTTGTTATTTACTTGAAAATAGTTTTTTATTTGGACTCTGTGGCAGTTTTTCAGAAAACAAAAAGTAGTGGTCAAAATGCA